TTCAAAGTGAATCGTCAGAAGGAAAATGAAAGTCGATGGAACTGTTGACAAATATAAAGCAAGACTTTTTGTCAAAGGCTTTAGGCAAAAACAAGGTCTTGATCTATTCGACACATACTCGCCAGTAACTAGAATTACATTCATTTGGATGTTAATTGTGTTAGTTGTGGTATATGACCTCCAAATTCATCAAATGAATGTGAAAATAACTTTCTTAAATAGAGAATTGGAGGAAAAAATTTACATGGAACAACTTGAGAATTTTGTGGTTCCTGATAAAGAAAAGAAAGTGTGTGAACTTGTTAAGTCACTTTATGGACTAAAACAAGCACCCAAACAATGACATAAGAAATTTGACCAAACCATGTTTGCAAATAGATTTAAGAATGATGGAAGTGATAAATGTGTTTACATTAAAATCACAAGGTCATTGTTTGTTTGTAGATTGATGACATGTTGATCATCAGTAGAGACACTAATGACATAAATGCTACTAAATGTTTGCTAGAAAGCAAGTTTGATATGAAAGATCTTGGAGTTGCTGATGCGATCTTAGATAATCGAATTCTTAGAACTCCATAAAGCTTAGTATTGTCACGGTCTCATTGCATTGAAAAAGTATTTGACTAGTTCAAATATTTGGATTTCAATATTGTCAAGACTCCAATAAATGTGAGCTTTGCATTTCAAAAGAGTGAAGGCAAAAGTGACTCACAATTGGATTGTGCTAAAGTATTGAGAAGTATGATGTATTGTGAGCGATTAGATATAGCATGTGTTGTTAATGAACTGAGTCGGTTCACGAGTGATCCCAATCGAACTCATTGGATGACAATAAAGAGTTTTGGGTATTTAAAACATACTCAAAACTATGTCTTGCATTATAATAATATTCAGCAGTATTGAAAGGATATAGTGATGCAAATTGAATCACCGAGATCAAATGAAGTAAAATCCACGAGTGGATATGCATTTACTCTTTGTGGAAGAGCAGTTTTTTGGAAATCTTCCAAAAAAAGACATGTATCACTAGCTCTACAATGATCTCTAAGCTAGGTACTCTAGATAAGACCGGTGAATACGTTGAATGACTCCAAAATTTCTTGATAGATATATTTTTTTTTGACCCAAACCTTTGGCATCAGTAAGCATACACTTTGATAGTCAAGATGCAATAGGTAGGGCATGGAGCATGATGTATAACGAAAAGTCTCGTCATATAAGACATAGACATAATAGCGTTAGAAAACTACTCTCTAGTGAAATTATCATAATTGACTATGTAATTCAAAGGATAATGTGTCGGATCCACTTACAAAAAGGCCTAACTAGAAAGAAAGTTGAAAGATCATCTAAGGGAATGATTTACGGCTTAGGACAAGTCATCATGGCGGTAACTCTACCTAGCATATTGGAGATCCCAAGAGCTAGGTTCAAGGAGAAAAACAAAGTTGTGACTGACTGTTTAGCATTGTCAACCAACTCAATCCATTCTCATGATGAAGACAATGCTCAGGAACAAGGATCTAACATTAAGGCTTGTTAATGAGTCAATAAAGATTAAATTTTTTAATGATTTGCCAAGTTTGACAGATTTGACCAAATAGTGTATCTACGTGATAACATAGTTAGAAATCACCTATGTGAGTGTGAAGTGTAAGCCGCTTCACAGAGGATGATTGTCAAAAGCACATCTCTCTATACACTCATGAAACCAAGAGGTGTTCATGGCTGAAACGAACACAACCGTAAGAACAATAAACGGTAAAGGGTTGATTGTGACATATGATTGTCTAGGTATACACCAAAAGCTTGACGGTTCAAAGATATCAAATCTATCGATTGACCGAGTATATCCGACATATGTTCATTACGAAAAGTTCAAAGGAAACCTACTTATCCAGATGCAATTAATTCTTGCTTGTAAAGTACACATACTTGTCCGTTCTTTGTCTTGGAGTCATTCCCATTCATGCGGGGGGATTGTTGGGTTTTAAAAGGTGTGAATGGAAAATGAAGAGTTGCGACTTTTATGAAGAGTTGTGAGTTTTATGAAAAGAAAAGTTGCGACTTTTACGAAGAGTTGCGACTTTTATGAAAAGTTGTAACTTTTATGAAAAGTTGTGACTTTTATGAAACGTTGTGACCTTTCTGAATGATTGAGACTTTTTCAAAGGGTTGTAACCTTTCCGGTAAGGCACAATAAGAACATTTTCATACTACCCTTTGTTTTCTATAAATTGAGGGATTTCCTCTCATTTTAAGAGGATTAATTTTTCTGGACTTCTACTACTACTAAATCTAGTATTCTAAGTGTACTTATTGCCGTTGAGTGGTTCGCTGACATCGTGGTTTTAGGTACCGATACACCGGTGAGTAAGATCGTTCTATCCTGGGAGGATATATATATTCCATTAACCTCGAGTACTTGAAGGGAATAATTTCCTTAAGGGAACACTGTGCATTTAGTGGGCTCGATTTTCTTTCTTTGAGAAATATATTTTTATATTGTTTCTAAACTGTTTCTGATTCTATTTTCTCTACTAGTTTTAATTTTCTAGTTTTGAAAATACTCTTTTAACTTTGTTGTTTCTTACCAAGTTTTTCAAAGTTTTTTTCTAAGTATCTTAGGAATGCAAGATGAACAACAAGAGATACTATCTTAAACTAAAATATTGCTAGCCACAACGGGCAAACAACTGAACTCAAAACACTCAACTTTGTATAGGTGCATATGCATAAATGCTAATCCAACCAACTGCTAGCAATAGTATATATATATATATATATTTGCAGATAGGACTCATTCATTTTGATTATAGCTCCCAGTGGATGCAAATAATATGTCATTATATGAACTCTGGATGCATATAGTATACGATAGTAAAAACCTTCGTGCTTAAAATCTCATCGTGAATTCATTTAACTTTTATGTGATCATTTAGGCCAATTAAACGCATAATAGAGTCGATGTTTTTGACTTGACTTCAACTTAGTAAATTAATTAGCTAGGAACTCAAAAGGAGAGTGTGCATGCTTAACTTGATTTATTCTAACTGATTCCGAGTTAGTAATAGTATGATCCTTAAGTCGATCTAGAAATCATTGACACCTCTACATATTGGTTTTAGGATATCGAATTAAAGATTGGTGAACATATTAAAATTTTATAGTTAGTAGTCTATCGGTGCGGGGACGAATTACTTAATTTTCTTAAATGATAAATAACACAAAACATTTATTGTAAAACCTAAGGATAAAGCCCCATCCAATATTCTTAGAAGAACTACTAATCACCTCGAAGCCCAATCACTTTCTAAAATTGGTCGAAGAAAAACTAATCTCTCTCTGTTTCTTTTCCAAGTTCTTGTTCTTGCCTGTTAATAATGTGTTCTACATTTTTCAACATATTTATTTATGAGAAGAATTACAACTTATTATATTTTCTATAATTTTTCATTAACTAAATTACAATTTTAAAATATTAAATTAATGGCATGCCCCAACCTACCGGGTCGTGCGGGCACCTACTCTAACACCTAGATAGGAGAACCCTTATCACCCAATTTTAAAACGGATAATACGGAAATTAAATCAAACATAAGAAAAACTCTT